GGCAGCCCCCAACTGCATTCTCCCTGCTTGCTGCCTGCCTACCTGCCTGAGCCATGTTCACCTGCCCACTTGTCCCCTGCTGCCCACCTGAACACCCAACCATTGGCCTGTCAGCCCACCCATTGGCCTGTCTGCTGGGTGCTAACAAAGCTCTCATCACTCCTTCGCCTGGTTTGTCTTGTCTGTCTCTGTCTCAGTAGTTGCCGGCGGACAGCATGGCCGTGCCAGCCTCCCACACTGAGGCCAGGCCTACCCCTCCTCGTCGTACCTTTCCCAGGACCACTCCCCCACGGCCAGCCAGGGGTCTGGAGTTAGCCCAGGCTGGGGAATCTCAACTCAAGATGGTGGTGATGCCTTGGGTCTGGGCATCCCCTGCCTGCTTTCCTGCGTGCCCCACCTGCCTCATGTTGTGTGAGCCTTTTTTTTGTTTGTTTGTTTCATTGTTTTTTTTTTAATTACTTTGAAGAGGTTTTCCTTTTTTTAAATGCAATATCTCTGTATACAGACTGGCTGGGCGCCACCCCGTGTGAGGCCCTCCCACAGTATTTTGTGCAATGAAGCCCCGCTCCCAGCCTTTCAGAGGCAGGGACACAGCCCCTATTTGGAACCCTGACCATCACCAGACCCTGGGATTGGCTATGGGAAAGCATGCCACGGCCACTCGCCTTCCTACCCCCACCTGCCATCCCCAGCTGCAGGGGGATCTGAGGACTACTGGAGACTCTGGGAAATGGACAAGGTGGGGGACCCCACTCTTTCCTTCCTGCAGTCCTGTAGCCGGGGCCTCCTTCCTTCTCAGGGTCTCCCCAGCCTAGCCCTCCTGCTCCCATCCCAATCAGTGCTGTTGAGTAGGGGCCCTGCCAGGAACCAACCAAGTCAGTGAGGAGCCATAGTGTATATATGTACACAAGCAGGGTTAGAGGGTATGTGAGCGGTGTTGCCCCCAGGTGTTGCCCCCTAACTTCTGGGGAGGATGAAGCAGGGCAGGGACAGTTTCCGGGGTCAGTTCCTGGATGGGTGATTACCTCCTCTTCTACCCTAAGCCCTGGGGCCCTGAAACGGGGTGGGAGGGCAGGGGTGGGACCCCTCCTCGTGGGGTTTGGGGGGTTGGGTTCCTGAATGCACCATAATCGTTGTATGAAATATTAAAAAGCTAAGTGAAAAGCCTGATTGCAAATCCATGTGGGGAAAGTGTATCAAGGGGTGTATACCTTAAGCTGAGGTGATTACTGGGAACTGGGAGAATTCATACCTGGTCCCCATTGTCTAGGGGAGCACTGGGGGTGGGCCCAGAGACACATCATAAGTATGAAAAAGCCATCTGAGGGATTGCTCATGTAGCAGTGGAACCATCAAGTTGAAACAGCTACGGCAGGCTCAATAATGCTGAGCTGAGAATCAAGCTGAAGCGAATAGTTACATTTTCCTAAAAATAAGAGGAAGCCAGATAGAGGGTGTAGGTAGGAGGGTATAGAGAGGCTGTTTGAAAGATACTGAAAGACCTAATAGAACTAGGGATGGGGAGATGAGGCAGAGAGACCCAGTATGATCACATCTGACCAGGACACTATGAAGAGGTCTAAATGGAGAGGGAATGTGAGAGAGAGGGTGGATTTTGGACCACTGAGTAGGTATCCTTTAATACATAGGTCAGATTAAGAAGTGGGGCCATAGATAGAGCCAAAATTTTGGATTATTAATGTCTAGGAAGAAATGGAAATCTTGAGTGCAGGTGACATGACTGGGAAGGATAGGATAGTTTGTGAGAGGCAGGAGGTCAAATGGCACAACTTAGTATGTGGATAGTTGAGGCCTTGAGTTCCTTTGTTCTGAGTTACAGCCCTGGTACCACCATTTTGGGTGAAGCCAGAGATAGCTTTCCAGGCAAAAGAAGTGGGGAGGGCAGGGTCAGGCAAATGTATTAAGTAACAGTAAACCTAATTAAGTGATTGTTTACTAAAGCCTCACAGTGGTGGCCCATGGACCTCTAATCAATGCTACTGTGTCCCAGTAGGCACTTTGGTGATGTCTCAGCTTGCAGTAAGCACTTTGGTGATGTCTCAGCTTGCAACCTTATGGTGCCACAATGGCTGCCATGTCTGCAGAGATAAGAAAGCAAGCAGGGAAAACAGGACACCTCCATGGTGCTCTCCCTATTTGTCTGTTTTCTTGTAATAGGGCTAAGAACTTTAACAAGTTCTTCAGTCTTCCTGTAGCTAGAATCAGATAACATGGTCATCTCAAGGGAAGATGGAAAAAATGAGGGCCTTGCAAAGAGGTACAAGTTTGCTGGGCTGGACTTAAAAGACTAGAATTCGGGGCGGTGCCTGTGGCTCAAGGAGGCACTTCATATATCAGAGGTGGCAGGTTCAAACCCAGCCCCAGCCAAAAACTGCAAAAAAAACTAGAATTCACACAGCTGCTCTGGGAAGTGGTCCTTGGTATGAGCCGAGGTTGGTGTTTGGAAGGTGAAGAAACAGTCCAAGGATGGGGAGAGGAAATGAGAGTCAATTCAGAGAATCACAGGATTTAGCTGCACTTGACCAACCGCAATGTGCCAGACCCAACTCAACTGCCGGGGTTGCTTATTTCTGCCTTAAAGTCTTACCCAACTGGGTTGTAACCCCTCACCTGTGCCAGGTCTGGGCTAGGGGCTGGAATCACAGTAATAAAGATATAATCCCTGGCCCTCAGATGTTAACTGAAAATTAGAGTTATGAAACTGGAGCAGGGAGAGAGATCTGTGTGTGCGTGGGCTCAGGGGTGTGGAAAAGTTTATTCATAAATGTGAGTAAATAAATACTGGGTGCACTCTAGGAGGCCAAGGCTGGTGGATTGCCCTGAGCTCACAGGTTCCAGACCAGCCTGAGCAAGATTGTGACCCCATCTCTCAAAATAGGCAATGTGGTGGATGCCTGTAGTCCCAGCTACTTGGGAGTCTGAGGCAAGAGAATCGCTTGAGCCCAAGTTTGAGGTTGCTGTGAGCTATGATGCCACCACACCTCTGAGGCTGACAAAGTGAGACTCTTGTCTCAAAAAAACCCAAAACACTGGGTGGTGATGGCTGAAGGAAGTCATTGAAACAGTCCCAGAATCACAAGACTGTCTTGAGGAGTTTGTAGAATGGCCAGGTGGGGGGTAGCCAGAGAGAGAAATATTAAAATAATTGCCATAAGTGCTGGGAGCCCTGGTAGAAAACAGGATAGCATAGCCTAGTGTAGTGGTTTTCAACCAGAGACATTTTTCTCCCAGAGGACGTTTGGTAATGTTTGGAAGGAGACACTTTGTTGTGGGGGGGGGGGGGGGGGTGGTAGTGGTGGTGGTGCAGTTATCTAGTAGATAAAGGCCAGGGATGCAACTATGTATCCTGCAGTGCTCCTCATAACAAATGACAAGGGTGCTAAGGTTGAGAAACCCCTGTTTCAGAATCCCTTTCTAACTCCTAAAAATTGAGGACAACCTAAAGAGCTTTCCACTGTACACACATAGAGAAAAGGAGGGTGAAAAAGTATTGTGAAAATAGTTTTGACTCTGAAACCCTGGAGTATTCCTGAACTGCCTGGGAACACAGTTTGAGACTGTCTGGCCTGATTATTTAAGATCACACCTCTGGAACCATACTTCTTGCTTCCTGGGTTTGCATACAGTTCTGCCAAAGTAGCCACTTACTACCATATGCTTTCTGGGTTTGAACACAGATCCTGCCAAACTAGCCACTTATTATTTTCCATGGTGACAAGGACAGTACCTGAGGCAACTAATAAACTGGGTGGATTATCATCATTGTGGTGATTCTAACACACAAGAGTTGGGTCTGACTTGCCTTCCACAAGTTTGTGAGGAAGGGAAACAATGGCCTGCAGGCCCAGGTGAGCTACTCTAAGTAGATAGAGATCTCTTTTGCATTGGGTTTTGATGGATAAGAAACGTACTGCCATGAAGGAAGGGCATTCTGGTCAGGCTAACAAAAACACTGCTCCTAGGGTAGGGGTCCTCTCCTACGTCGGGGACCTCAGGCTCCGCCTTTCGCGTAACCTTTTGCTCTAATTCAACCCGGCATTTAAATCCTACAAGGTACTTTTTCTTAGTTCCCACTGAAGGTTCTACCCCACCTATTAGTCGCAGGCCTCACTGCCCACAGTCCGATGTCCGCCTAGCTCTTTGATCCCTTTGAGCTTGGGGGGCCATTTCCAATATGGCAGTACCCTCGCTGCCGTTTGGGGGGCTCTGCTTCCGTTTCCGGGACTAGAATCCGGAAGTGGCAGTTGGGGGGCGTCATTCTATCTCCAGCTGCGTTGGCTGTGAGAGGAAGACGTTACGGCGATGGCGACGGTCGCGGCGACTACTGCCGCCGTCGCGGCTGCAGCAGCGGCTGAGAACAGACAGGCACAGCACGAGGTGGTGCCAGGCCTGGACAGCCAGCTGCGCCAGATTGAGAATGGCGAGAGTGGGCGAGAACGTCCACTGCGGGCGGGCGAGAGCTGGTGAGGCTGGGCTGCGGTGGAGCCTCGGTTTAGGGGACAGTGGGGGCGTTGGCGACTGCCGGGGACTTGGCAAAAGAGGTCTACGGGGTAACTGCCGGGCGGGGGGGGGGGATAGGGGACCTGCCGGTGGGACAGCCAGAGAGATGGGCGGGGAAGTGTTTGTGATTGAATCGCAGCATCTGGGAAAGGGGCGGGACCTGTGTGGTGCAGTCTGACGCCCAAGAAGAAAATGGGGTTTGTTGTTAAGCGCCCTGGGGGCGGGGCCTGAGAAGAAACGGCCATGGGGCTAGGACTGCGCCTGCGTGGTGGGACTTGGACCCTAAGAAGGAGGCGGGGTCTGCGTGCTTCGCAGTTACTAGGGGCGGGAGCGAACGAGGCGAGCCTTGTGACGTCAGCAGAAGAGCGAACTCTGAGCCTAACGGCTCTGGGCCGAGGGAGGGAGCGGGAGCGGGAGCTTACGTGTGGTTGGAGTCTGGCGCCTGGGAACCAGGCTAAGCCGTGACGTAGCCGAGGGGCGTGGTCCGAGGCTGAGGGAGGCTGGAGGAGGGGAGTTGGTACTTAGGAGACAGAAAATGGCGTCTGCGAACGAGCAAAGTTTGTGACGCGGCGAGGTTTTTGGCTCTGGAGGAGGCCTTCTTCTCGGGTCGGGAGAAAGTGCAGGTGATTAGCCCGGGAGGGGCCTGCGATATTTTATTTGTTTTCTGTTTTTAGTGCTGTTTTATTTTTTAACTCAGGAAAAATATTTTTAAAAATCAATGCGTATTTTGATAAATCGGCTTGTTTTACGATTTCCTTGCTAACCAGTGCCTCTTGAAATTTACTGCCTCTGGGTTCATTTTATTTCTCGCCGAGTTACACCTCGCTTTTAAATTGTGAAATATGTAAGACCTAAAAAGATTAATAAAATGTTTACGCTGCCCAGATTGACGGACATTCTATTAAAATAAACGGCCTGTACTCTTCAATGTCAAGGTCGTGAAAGACAAAGGCTGAAGAACTGTTCCAGATTGAAGGAATTAATGTAATTTACTGAGTCATGATAACTAAATGCATCCTGATCCTCGATTGGATCCTGGAACAGGAAAAAATAAATAAATTATTAATAAAAATCAGGGGGGTTTTTCGCACATTTTTTTCTCGTTTGCCGCAAAAGAAAAAAAACAATGGAAAATCGGTGAAATTTAACTAAGGAATCGATTAGATCTTAGTACTGATTTCATGATTGTGATATTTGTAGTGTGTTTAAGATAATACTTTTGTTTTTAGAGAATACATACTGAAATTTTTAGGTGTAAGTAACCATTATACAAACAACTTATGCTCAAAAGGTTGAAAAATTAGCATGTTGAAAATTTATATGGTGGGGGCGGAAGGGAAGTTGGGGAGGTGTTTGTCAAAGGATACAAAATTTCAGTTAGATTGAGTAGTTCAGGAAGTCTGTTGTGCAACATGATTAGAGTTAGTTATACTTGAAAATTGCTAAGTGTAGATTTTAAATGTTCTTACCACAAAAAGAATAAGGATGTGACGTAATGGTTATGTTAATTAGCTTGTTTTAGTCATTCCACAAAGTATACCTATATCAAAACATACTGTACACCATAAATACACATAATTTTTGTCATTTTAAAATAAATAAATACATAATAAACAACGATTGAGCAAATGGATAAAATGTTTGATTTGGAGAATATGGTTGAAGGACATATGGGGAAATTATTTGTAGTTTGCCATTTTTGTGAGGATTTCAAAGTAAGAAAAAATTTAAAGAATAATAAAAACATGTGAATTAACCACTCAGGTTAAAGTTATTACCCAGGTGAATATAACCTTAAGAAATCTTTCTGTGCCCTCCTAGATGAAAATTACCCTCCTTATTTCATGGAAAACTTACTCTGCATTTTGAGTAAACAGCCTCTTCCTTTTGTTTAATATTTTACCATCACTGTATGCATTTCTAAATAGTAGTTGCTGTCTAAGCTTTCACTTCATATAGATGGAGTGCGTATGTGAAATCATACTTTATATATAAATATGAAATCATACTGGATGTATACTGTGAGCCTTTTTCATATCAGGTGATACATGGTATCCACATGACATCATTGGTCACTTGGTTACTGTGGTGTCTGCCAGGTTTCTCGATTGTAAAGGTACCATTTTCCTTTTTACATACGTAGTAATTCTTTTTAAAACATAGATCATGTCCAACTATTCCTCAGAAGGTTCTAAACAGTTTCCTATCTCCTGCAGTGTAAATGCTAAAATCCTTACAATGACTTGCAAGGCTTTTACAAAGCTGGTCCCTTGTTTCCTTTCTGATTTCTCCTCTACGCACTCCCTCCCTTTCTTCGTCAGGGCGGCCATATTGGACTCTTGCTGTTCCTCAAACACATTAAACCTTAGGGCCTTTTTGAGCGAGGTTTGCTTACTTTACAGAGTTCTTTAATAACTTTACCAATAAAGTGTGTATCCCTGTTACTGGGATGATAAATTGAGATTCCTCAAATTGGGAATACAAATCCAAGCCATGTGTTTTTGGTTTTTTTTTTAACATTACATCATAGCTTTCTAGCAGGGAAAAGCCTCATTCCTTCCTGAGAAACAACAGTAACTGGAATGTTTTTTAAATAGTCCCTTGAGAGATGTTCAAAAGGACCTGGAGGCTTTGGTTCTTGCCTCTTCCTACCTTTACAACCTTGTCATGTTTGTATCATTGGAAGATTGGACATGAAATCCTGTCATAGTGGGCAGTACCCTTTAAAATTACCCCATCTATTCTGTGTTTACTTTGGGGTAATGAAAATGTTTCCCAAGTAGACAGATATTGTGGTTGCACAATATTGTGAATGTACTAAAATGCCTCTGAATTGTTCACCTTAAAATGGTTAATTTTATGTTATGTGAATTTCACCTCATTAAAAAAAATTACCACACCAGTGTTGGTTCAGTATTGAAGCCAGTTTGTCTTTGCTATGGTGGGTATTATCGTGAAGCATTTTCACTAAACTCTACTTTTTTAATGCTTACCTATTTAGGGAAGAACAGAGCATCTCAGGGTTCTTTAATTTGCTGTGCATTTTAAAGAGATTTACTGCAGTGGTCAGGAAATATGTGTTTATAAAGCATTTTGAAGTTATAGATGAACCCCAGATCATATACTTTGTATCAGTATTAATACTTGCGCCTCTGTCTTGTCAGCTGACAGATCTGGGCAAGGGCAGGTAATTGATTTGGTCATCTAGACTGATTTAATTTCTTTTTCTTTCTTCTTTTTTTTTTTTTTTTTTTTTT